CAGAGGCAGGGACTTGGTCTGCTTCGCTCACACAATCGCCAGTGGCGAGGGGTGGGGCTGGCACATCATGGATGGGACGCTGGTAGACGGGGACAACTGGCGGGCTGTCCAGGGAGGGGGATGCTGACTGGCAGCACCTGCCAATATCCGTGGTGTAAACATTCCTACCACGGCCAACAGCGAGCAACCACCTTGACATTGCTGAACACAGAATTGGGAAAAGATGCTAATGATCAGCTCTCTGAGCCAGCATGAGCCGGCTCCAGCACACTGCAGAGTTGCTGAACACACTAATGGAATAAATGGTTATTTCCATGAGTTGACAGGCTCTTTTGGGGGATGTAACTCTAGGACTTTGGGGTCTAAAATCACGTTTCTCCAAAACTGAGGAAGTTTCTGCAAAGGAACAGGATGTCACACATGAACAGGTGACCACTGCGCTGGAAGCCGACCGAGAACAGAAAGGACAACACAGTTAAAGCAGAAGGTCTACGCACCGGCCGGACAGTGAAAGCAGAGCTCTCAGAGGACTCACGACCCCTGCAAGAGCCCGGGGGCGTCCCTGCCCTCTTCACCAGCAGCCAGCTGGAGGGCTTGAATTCTAGAGCCCTTTCCCACCCTGACCGTCTATGCAGTTAAGAATTGAGACAGGTCCAGGGGAGCCTCTATTCCACTCTGCTATGAAAACACTCAATTTAAAATACCTTTTTAAAAATCCGACTAAATCGAACTTCAACTCCACGGACTCTATCATACTCTAAGCTCATGTTCTGGGAAGGCCCCTCCTTCCCCCAGGGTGAAATCCACTAGCGCTTGTGAAACCAGAAACCACCTGGAGCTCTCTGGGCCCCCATGGCGGGTCCCACAGCGGGGCATCCCCTATGAGTCCCGCCGATCTCAGGGGCCAAGCGGCACTGGGCTTCCCTGGGTCCCTTCCTACACGTGACCCACATGAAAAAGACAGACAGACAGACAGTCAGACAGGGGAGAAAGCCTGGAAAAGATTCACAGCAAGAATTCTCCTCTGAGTGGTAGAAAGGGAGGCTAAGAGCATAAAAGGCGTGCACTTTTACAAAAATTACAAGGAGACCAAAAAATGTTAAATGCTGCAAGAAAGACAGTTGCTCTCGACAGTTTGCAGAATGATGCCTTCCCCTCCCAAAGACGTCCACGCCCCAACCCCGGAAACCGTGAGCGCACTAGATTACGTGGCAAAGGGGGGTGCGGGTTACAGAGGGAGCTGAGACTGCTAACCAGCATCCTCAAGATGGGTAATTATCCTGGATTATCCAGATGCCCGACACAGTCACAGGGGTCCTTCCTCACAAGGGGAAGAGTTAGGCAGGAAAGGGAGAACCGGGGAGACGGCAGCCTGAGAGGGCCGCGGCCTGACGGCGCTGGCTTTGCAGATGGAGGAAGGGGCCACAAGCCCAGGGATATGAGCAGCCTCTGGAAGCTGAATAAGGCAAGGAAACCTACCCTTCCCTGAAGCCTCCAGAAGGGACGGAACCCTGCCAACACCTTGATTTTAGCCCAGGGAGACCCAGTGCTGACCTCTGCCATCCTGAACTATAACATAATAAACTTGTGTTGTTTTCAAACAAATGTATGGTAATTTGTTATACAAGTAACAGAAAATAAATACGCCCTCATTTTGGCCCACACTGTCAGGCCACCTGGTACCTGACCCTAACTCAGGGACTGCCTGACCCAAGAGAGGCCCCCGCTCCTCTTGGGGCCTCAGCACCCCTGTCTGTGCCACAGGCACCTTGGTGCTCATGCCACGTGAGGGGACAAGAATTTGCTCAGTGGCCCCAGCACCCAAGCTGTGGCATTGCTGTGGGCGGAATCCCCAGAGGAGGCTGATAGCCCTTCTCAACCTCCTGACATGGTCACCCCTGTGTTTCCAGGGGGAACCAGGCAAAAAGCGTGTGGCTGGAGCTTGTGAGCCCCTGCCCACCTGAGAAACATAACAAGCCAGTTCCTAATGCCTGACACCAGTGTGAGATGTTCAGGGCTAATATGCAGAAACTCCGTCTGTATACTAGCCATCAGGCCCTAATATGCAGGGTCCATCTATGTGGCCGTCAGAAGATCTAGAGATTCACTCTGAGGGACTCTCAGACAAAAGACAGGCCAGCGTGCCCAGGGAGAGGGCTGCCAGCCCACAAGTGAGGTCACCCCCGGCCCAACTGTCAACATGGAGAGCCACTAGGCTTGGAACACCTGGCTATGGGGACATGTAAGCAAAGAATCGCCTCTCCCATGTGCTTAGTCCTGCACCTGAGCTTTCTCGAAGGTCTACTCTGGGCCAGGTGTGTGAGTGGGGGGCAGTGATAGCGAGGTGCACAGACATGCACAGGAAGGCCCTGCCTGCGACACAGCATGATGGCAGGAGGCAGAACGAGGCAAGGGTGACGGGACCACCCAGGGCAGGGCCGAAGCCCCAGATGTTCCAACTGATCGTGAGAGGAACCCCATGAGGGTGACCCTGGAAAGCCAGTAATAAATGACAGATGGCCCCAAACAGCCACATCCCCCACAGCGGGAACCCAGATGACATGTAGTCTAAGCATCTTGTAAAATCAAAGGACATAGAAGAGAAACAAAAATAGAAGCAGAAAACAGTCCCATCAGCCACTGAGTAGCACTGAGGGATGGGCGTTGGAAGAGCTGGACTGCAGAGACTCGTGTCCCCTGACACCTTGGGAAGCAGCAGACCACACGCTTCCCCAGCCCCGCCCCGCCCGTGGTGTGACATCCACAGCCAGCCTTGAGCTGATGCTGTGAGGCTCCGAGAAGGCCCCACGCATCCACCTTTCCTCCAGCCTCACTGTGGCTGAGTGGGGGAGCGTGTGCCACGCATACAAGCCGGCGCTGCTGGCATCTCACCGTTCTCTGTCACACTTTACTAGAATCACATTTGCACACGTCTCTCTCACCCCGAGGAGATCACAGGATCCCATACACGCTAGGACTGACACCCACGTTTACTGAACTGAGTGAAGTAAGTGGGGGCAGAGAGGACTGAAGAAGGGGTGGGCGAGGGCAGGGGGTGCAGATGGGTTTGGCAAGCGGAGGAACTGTGGCCCTGATTTCAGACCGAGGGTGCTGCGTGCAGTTACGCAGTAAGAGCACAGCACCAAGACGCCTGAGGAGACAAAGACAGCCGAAATCCAACCCGAGCCCCACGCCCTGAACTGCGAGCCCTTGGACCTGCATCCCACCGGAACCTTGACAGGCCCGTCAGTGCTCGGCGCCTCACTTCCCTCTTCTGGAAAATGAGAGCGACGGCTGCACCTAGGTCAAGGAGCGTTTGTTCTCAGCTCCCAGTGCCTTCTGCGAGTCTGGGGGGAGCTGTCTGACACAGACCTTTCACCCCCTCCCCTTTGCTCACTCCACCCCAAGGACTTACTCAGTGGCTGACCGGGGAAGAGAGAACACGGGAATGTTAGGCACAGCTGCACCCTTCCCCCTCTTGGCAGCGAGCTGCCCTGCCAGGGGCTGGCCCCTCCCCCCGCCGTGTGACCCGGTGAGGTGACCCACCCTGGGCCTGAGGTGAGGTGGGGAAGTCTGTCCAGCTCCAGACTGGACTAGAAAGAAATATCAACAAATACCAAAGGACTGAAATCGTACAGAGTAGATATAACCCAAGTGAAAATGTTAGTAATCAAAAACAGAGAGATAACCAGAAAAATACCCTAAATGTTTTAAACTAATCAATACACGTCTAAATAATCCATGGGTCAAAGGAAGAAATCACAGTGGAAGTAAGAAAATACTTTAGCAGAAGCAAATGAACATCTAACCTATTCACACATGGGATACAAACAAAGCACCGACCAGACAGAAATGTTCACCCTTGCACCACGTAACAGGAGAAGGCACCGTGAGAACAGCAACAAACAGGAGTCCGTGACAATCCATACAGATAAAACAGGAAATAACAGCCAGTTAAACTCAAAGAAAGGAGAATGAAAGGAAGAATACCAGTAGGAGTGGAAATCAATGAAGTAGAAAATAAATATACAAGACCAAAAACTAGCCCTTTGAAATAGTATACAATTGATCAGCTTCTAGTACGACTAGTCGAAAAACAGAAATTGCCGGTATTAGGAATGAAAACAGAGACAGCCCCCAAGATCATACAGCCTTTAAGTTATAATAAGAGGATATTATATTTATACAATTTCACACCAACAAATTTGAAATCTAGAAAAAAATGGTAGAATTCCTTGGAAAAATATAACTTGCAAAATAGATATACAAAAAAATTAAAAATCAGACATTAAAAATTTTTTTCAACTGAATCCATAATTTAAAATCTTTCAGCTCAGTGCTCACAAACCTTCACTGGTAAATTCTTCTTGGTGTTTAAGGGAGAAACGCCACTGGCCCAACACTAGCTCTGCCGCGGACCAGGAGAAGGAGGGACGGCGTCTAGCCCGTCCTAGACACCAGGCCCCGATGAGGCTGGTGCCAGAAAGGAAACTCACCAAGTCCTCCTTCCAAAAACCCACACAGAATAGTAATAAACTGAACGCAGTGATATGTAAAAAGACCATCCGTCCAGACCAAGCAGGATTTGTTCCAGGAATGTTGGATGGTTTAACACACAAAACCAATCACCATAGGAATCACCCAGGTCTACTGTGCAAGAAGAACGGGGTGAGAAAACAGCCCCTCAGGAGCCTGGGGTGCTGATTCATCAGCCCCGCTCCAGCCTGCCATGGGGAGCACCTCTCCCACCTCGGCCTGGCCGTGTCGCCGCAGGTTTGTGCAAGGGCCATCTGCTAAAGTGTCTGGGCTTGGAGAAGAAGTGAGAGGGGCCAGAGGGGCCGTCCTGGCAGGCCACCGCAGGCCCATGCTCTCCAGGCTGCTTTCTCCCTGACAGTGACTGTGACCGCCTTCCCGCCTCATGCCCTGCTCAGTGAGCCCGGGGAGCCACCTGGACGGATGGTTCTCTAGGAAGAGGCATCATCTGGACCTGGTATGCTCACCTGACGGGCAGGAGTGGGTTCCCCTGCCTTGTGAATGCTCTTTCCAGCCTCTCCTGGGTCGTCCTGGTATTCCCACCTGGCAAGGAGAATTTCGAGGGTGTCCTGTTGGCCTCTGGGCCTCGGTCCATGGTGGGGCTGTCCCCTGAAAGACCTCTGCCCCTGCCGCTCCCCCTCTGCGGCAGCCCTTGGCTCAGTAGGCGAGGGGGGTTGCTGGGTGTGGTCCCGTGCTTTTCTGTGCTGGGCTCGCTGAGCTGGCCCGGGGGGCTCCTGGCGGTGGAGCCGGTGCTGGAAGCCAGGCCCTCCTGTGGGGCAGGACAGGCTAGGGTGCCGGTGGGCAGCCCGGGGGCTCTGCAGCCCTCCTCCTCCTCGTGGGGCGGAACCATGCCACTCAAGACCGGAGGCCGCCTCAGGGAGCGCTTGCGGAGTGAGTCCTGAAAGGGACAAGGACAAACGCAGTGAGGAATCCCTTCAGCGAGGCAGGAACATACTTGATGCCACTTCAAGCATTTGCCCACGATGTTCCCACCCCACAGAAAGCCGCTCCCCATCCCCAGGTCCTCCTCTTAAAGTCCTACCCACTCCTTCATGGGATACTCAAAGGCTACTGCTTCCATGACGCATCCCCACACCCCACCTGCGTAAATCTCAAGAGACACCACAGCCCTTCTCTCACACCCTGACAGGGGCAGGCCTGGGATCCAGCTCCTGGGTCCTCGCCCACCGCCTGGGTCCCCTTGGCATGTCAGGGTACTTCTCTATCCCTCTCTTCCCTCCCCTTTGACACAACCTGTCCACAAACCACTGTCTGCAATTTCTGAATCCCAGAGCACAAATTCTCTTGGAGTCCTGTAATAAAATCCTTTGAACTGCTTTGAGGTTACTTAATCTTCCCTAAGTGTGACTATTCAGGTTTAGCTGCAGACCTCTAAATGTTTTGGTTCTGCAAAGACCACATACCACGTAACTGCAGGCATTATATGGCATATGGTTTATGTACTGCATTTCTTTTCCAGAAAAAAACTGGTGAATTCTAGAACACCCACGGCCCAAAGGTTCTGGACCAGGGCCCAGGGACCCGTGGTGCCGTCTCCCATGGGCTCGTGGAGAGGGTTAAAGCCGAGACCCGCACATAGACGGCCCCACACACTGCCAGCCCCAGCACATCAGCTCAGGGATGCTCGTACCGCTGTGCACCTCCACTGAGGCCCTTGCCCCAACCACAGACCAGGAGTATCGACCGACACCCTTCATCATCTCTGGTGTCCACACAGCTCCCAGCTCAGTGACCCTCACCTAGTAGGCACCAAGATTGCTTAGTTTTTGAAATGAAGGAATTCCAAAGGAGTCAACTGGTATGTTTTTTGTTATATCCATGATCGACTGATGAAATGGTTAAGTCGCATTGTTACCAATCCTGGCTGTGGAGGTAGGGGACAAAAATACACCTGCCAGCCTTTTCTGGAAGCTCTCGGCATTTCCAGAGTGTATCCTCAGCCAAATGGTAAAACCTGTGCTAGAAGAAGAGCTAATTCTGTGGCACTCTTGCCTAGCGGAAGTTACTAGACTCCATAAGCCTCCTCCAAAAGCCACTCAGGGCACCCCCTGCCACAGCTGGAGGAAAGCATTAGTCACCGTTCCCAAGGAGACACAACAACCGCTGGCCTCAGGCGGGGCGGGGCGCCCGGCCTCATCCTTCCCAAGTGCAGAGCCAATCCAGCAGTGGTGAATGATGAAATATCCAGCAAGTCTTGCTCTTTTCTCTGAGGCAACCGAAAAGTACAGCCAAAGGCACACAGGCCCACAAAGCACCTTCCAGGAAACCTCGGGAAGTTCTGCACCTGCCCCTGCTTCGCCGTCCTTCGCCGGATCCAGACGCCCCAGAGGGAAAGTTCACAAGACAACTGATGAAAGAAGTTTCAGACAAGCTCTTGGCGGTAAAGCCAATGTAACCGTCACCCTCAGTGGTTGTGAAGGGGCCTCCGGGGCCCAGACTTCGTCATCAGGCTGCCACGCAGTGCAGGGCCCGGGCGTCTGGCCAGCCCACAGGTTCTCGGTGTGGTCTGCCAGCCTTAGGGGTCCTCGAATCCTTCTGGGAGCCAAAAGCCTCTTCCATAACAATGTGACCAATCGGCCTTTCTCTGTGTGGGTGCGCACAGTAGGGGTGTGACTGCTGCTGGTCCTTAGCAGGAACCAAGGCAGGGACGTCACTGGCGCCCTTGGCGCTCACCGTGCTTGCAAGGAAAATGCATAAGGAAAATGCTGTTGCCGATAATGTCCAAGCTCAGCCGTGAGCATTAACTGATACTCTTCACCGTGACCCCACAGTGCCCATCTCGTTAACATTCCATGTGACAGAATCAGACGTGTGTGAGCACTCCGCCTCACCCACAGGATGATGCCTGCCTCGAGGAAAAGCTCTCATCACAGGTCTGAGTTGTGAGCTGGACCAGCGATTTCTTTTCACGAGACCACTGAGCGGGCCAGCTGCGGTTACACAGACTGGGGGATCTGGTGGGCACTTCTCAAAAATACACAAAGCCTGTCCCTTCCAAGGGAATAAAGAAGTGATGTATTGACAACAGTGATAAAATACAAGTGTTCAGGTAAAAACTACTCTTGGGGGAAACTTGGATCTGTCGCTGTGAGCTTGAGAACTTCTCAGTACTTAAACGCTTTTCTGATGGGTTGGGTGGTAACACCAGGAGACGTGCCTTTTTAATTTTTTTTTGGTATAAGGAAATGTGTTGATATTCGGAAGATAACTCAGTAAACCAACATTTCCCAAACTACAGCAGTAAAGAATTCATTCAAAGTAAAAGCCAGACTGATAGAAATGGAGAAAAACTCATTGGTGTGTCTTCCGAGTCCGCGTGGACAGACTACAATCAGCCCAGTGTAGGCGCAAGGTCAAGGAACACCTCGAGTTTGCTAAAATCACTATTGAAATACTTCTCCCTCTTCCAAGTACATCTCTGCATGAGGCCAGGTTTTCTTCATCTACTTCAAAGTAACACAGCTGACCGAACGCAGAAGGAAGTGTGAGACTTGGACAGCCTTCCACTAAGCCAGACATGAAAGAGATTGGCAAAAATGTAAAATAGTGCTCCTTACCTCACTACTTTTTTTATTTTGGGAAAAGCAGGGTTTTTTAAAATATGTTATTTGTGTTCAATGTAATGGATTTACTATTGTTACTTTTAATGATTATACAAGTCAGTCTTTCTTTACTTTCTCAGTATTAATTTCTACACTTGATCTTAGCCAAAAGGCCGAGAAGTGATCAGTTTTCATTTCTTATACAGTAAATGTCCACAGATATAAGACCCAAACGAAACCCCTTTGGACTCTAAACTGGACACCACACAGAAATGCCCCCAGCAGAGGGGGAACCAGGCAAAAGGGCCTAATTCCTTCCAGAAAGGCCCCTCCCACTGCTGAGGGGCTCTGACTAACTGAGAGCTGCTCCCCCAGCCCCACCGGCTGGCCCTGGCTGTGCTCTCTGGAGCCGCCTAGCAAGCCTGCTCACCAAGTCCAACAGAGGACCACGCACCATGTCCTGGGCCATGGGCCATCTGGGGCTCGCAGCCTATGCTCAAGGCAGACAGCAGATGGCACTCATCTCACTCACACTCCAGCCCATCCCCCATAGTAGTGGCCCACGGTGCCCAAAGGCTCTGACAGCACATCCAGGCTTGAAAAGAACAAGGGCACTGAGATGCACTGGTGATGTCTGCCACAGGCACAGAGGTGGGCAGTGGCGTGAGTAGTCGCCTGAAAGCCACGCGTTCGCCACCCCGGGGCGACGCTATGCTTACCTCCAGGCTGGAAGAACTCTCTTCTGTTCTGTCCTACCTCCCACAAGCCTTCTCCTCCCAAGATGAAATAAATACTCCCAAATCTCTTGATTTCCTCCAAACTCTTCACCTTCCTAGCTCCTTTCCTCTGGACACAGTCCAGCTTATGAATATCCTTCTTCAAGTACAAGACACCTGTGGTGGGACACAACGTCAAGGTGTGGCCTGAACCCCACAGAAGGGAGCAGACCCTCGCCTACCTTGACCTGGCCACCAGAACTACTGCATGACCATTTCAGAGCCATGGAACCCCAGAGCTCAAAGGGGCCTGAGATACCCATCTAACAAATGCAACCAAGGCCAAAAGAAGTTGACAGTGCCCCAAAACCTCACGAGACGGGGGCAGAGGCAGGGAGGGGTCTGCGTCTTCCACAGGCAGAGTTTCTGCAAGACTGGCGCCCACCGCCGCTGCACACACCCAAGGTGGCACGAGAGAGCGGAGGTGACACATCTGGCCATGGACACACACCACAGAGTTTTGGTTTGCGCAGGCGCCTGCTCTGTCTGACACTTTGAGGCGGATGTTGGGTCTCACTGTGTTGTTTTACAGAGCCCTCAGACATCCGTTCTCAGAGCTGGTTCAGTCTCCACACCTCATGGGACCCTACCACAGGCCCTCCTTAAGGGACACTGTGAAACAACAATGTTCAATATTTACAATGCTTCTTTTTAATCAAAGCAAATGAAACTACAAAGATTGGCATTTCTTTTTCCCTTTTAAGTATCACGTTTTAAAAAATAAAAAATAAGTTCCCCAGGCTTAGATGAGTTCCCCCACTCCTGAATGGCAAAGATAAAGCTAGGTAGATGTGTTCTCACTCAGCAAAGCAACAAACTACCACGGCATCCGCCTCACTGGCATCATGGGTAAACTGAGGCAGGGAAGGGGACAAGGATAGCCCATGCTCCCACAAGGAGCTGAGAGCAGAGCCAGGGAGAACAGAGGGGTGCCCTTCCACTCCCAGCACACAGACCCCTCCCCTTGCACTCTCTGGGTGCCCCCAAGTGAACGCCGGCTGGTTCCCACTCTCCACTCTTGTACTGACAGAAAGGAGCAACAACCTGTGGGGAGCTGGCGGTGGGCCCAGCCATCATGCCTCGGACAATCAGGCCAGGCTTAGGCCTGGTCTTCTCTCCCGCCCTCTTTGTGTCGGAGGATGGCTCTGTCAACAGGAGCTTGTCCATCTTCTCCCACGCAGGGGCCACAGCAGGAGGGCTTTCAACCGGGAGGGCCTGCGCCAGCTTACTGTTGTGTGGGGGCCACTTGGATGACACCAAATTACCAAGTACATCCCCATTGTGATTGTCGTGTCTGCAAAAAAGGGGAATATTTCCATTGAAACAGACTCTCAAAAGGAATTACTAACAACAATAATAAATTGCACATTCAGCAGACGCTCACAAGTCCATTCACAGGTCCATGGAGACTTCTAGCTGGCCTGTGCTTCATCATTAAAGGTAAGGAATAGAAAATACTTGGTTATCAGGGCAACTCTGGCCTATAAGAGGAGGCCAGGAAATGAGAAACAAAATCGGAGTTGATGACTCATGACAAGACTCCCTACATTCTCCACTAGAAAGAGCTTCCTTAGTCTAGACCCAACTGATGAAGGAACGCTGGGGCCCTTCCATTCGGACCGGGACACGCAGAGCCCAGTCGTGCTGCGCACCACGGGGACGGCAGCACACCCGGCCTTCCTGACGGTGCAGCGAAGGGTCAGTAAGGTCAGGCATGCCAATGGCTTCATTTTCTGAGTTGCTTGGCATTGAAAGAATTAAAGAGAGAGAAAGAGAGTAAGAGGGTGAGAGACAGAGCAGCAAGAAGCAGGAAAGAACGAGAAGGAGAAGGAGACAGGGACCCAGGTAAAGAGGACTTGACCTGCGATCTCGCAGAGCCAGCACCACTGATGCGGGCCGACTGCTTTCTGCACTGGACTTGGGTAAGACGAGATATCAACACCTGCTGCCAGCCGCTTACCATGCACTGGGCCACATGAGAAAGAAGTGGGCACATGCGCAATGACAGGGGTGTGTCAAGCAGAGGAACGATTTGGAACCAGCCTGGGGAAATCTAGAAGGGCTGAGTCTGAAAGAACGGCAGGCAGGCGGTGAGCAGGAGAAGGCCCCAGGTTCTAGGGGAAGCCTGTAAAAGGCGCCCGTGCCTGGGCGAGCTGCAGGGACTGACCACAGAAAGGGCTCTGTGAGTTAGCCTGAGGGGTCTGGATTTCATCCTGAGAGCTACGGGGAACACTGAAGGCCTTTCAGCGGCGGAGCGGCCTGGCAGACTTGCTTGCGGAAGGCTGGTGCTACCCTAGGTCCAGGATGCATTCGGGGAGGCCACTGGAGTCCTGGAAATGAGGGGGGAGCCCTGGGCTTCCAGAGGAAGCAGGACGGAGCTCACCCTCATGAAGGACTCTAAGATGCAAAACGAATGGGCAAGGAGGAGTCAAGGATAACAGCCAAGTTTGAGCTTGGGCAACTGGATGGAACTTGGGTGCTTCAAAGATGTTACTGCAGTTTTTTATCATTTCAGAAATATTTCACTTCTCAGCCAGGCAGTAAGTGTCTGTGAAGGAGGTGAAGGAGGAAGCATCTTCTTCATTCCACCCTCGTTAACTTGCACATCTTAAGCCCTGAGTTAATGTTTTAATAATGGTTGTCACCTTCTGGCATCTTGACGCCTGCATCCCCAGCCCTGGCTCCCCTGGGGAAGAGAAATGCATTTGGACAGGCTGGAGGCGCACACCCGTCCCCAGGAGGCCAGGCTCCCTCTCAGGGGCCTCATGTGGGGTGTTAAGGTGGTAATATAATAGGATGGTTTTCCAAACAACTGAGGTTCAATCAAGAATGCCGATTCATTTTCTTTCTGAAGGTTCCTAAGGCCTTATTTTTCAGATTTTTTCCCATTTCTCCAGTGTTTCATTGCCTTTAAAAAAATGCTAATAAGTCCTGGCTGGTGTTGTTCAGTGGACTGAGTGCCAGCCTGCAAACCCAAAACTCGCAGGTTCAATTCCCAGTCAGGGCATATGCCTAGGTTGCAGGCCAGGCACCTAGTTGAGGCATGCAAGAATCTGATGTTTCTTTCTCTCTCTCCTTCCCTTCCTCTCTCTAGAAATAAATAAATAAAATATTCAAAAATAAATAAATGCTAACAAAACAAGCCCCTGAACTTTATGAATCACAGAATTTAAAATGGAGATCACATGGAGGGTTCTTAGTGGGAAGAGGGAGGGAGAAGAATGGGGAAAAAGGTACAGGGAATAAGAAGCATAATTGGTAGGTACAAAATAGACAGGGGGAGGGAGAAGCCAAAGAATTTACATGTACGACCCATGGACATGAACTAAGGTGGGCAAATGCTGGTGGGCAGTGGGGTGCAGAGCAGAGGCAGACAAACGGGAGAAAAAATAGGACAACTATAATAGCAGAATCAATAAAACATACTTAAAAAAGTAAAACACTTTAAGTCATAAACGTCCCCATCACCCAGTGGCCCGTCCCCACGGCCTCCAAAGGAAGGCACCGGCGCTCCGAGACTGGGGTTCTGAGAGCACAGGGTGCGCAAGGCTGAATGATGGCCCCACAAAGATGCCCACATCCCGACCCCCACAATCTGGGAATACGTTGCCTTATGGGGAGAAGAGTCCTTGCAGGTGTGATCGGCTAAAGATCATTAAGGTGGGAGGGTGGGCCCGGAGGAATCAAGGGTCCTTATCCGGAGGAGACAGGAGTGTCCGAGTCAGCGGTGGGAGAGGGGAGAGTGATGTGCCCGAAAGACGGAGGAAAGGCCACAGGCCGAGCAATGTGGGTGGTGGCCACCGCAAGCTGAAAAAGGGAGAGGAAACAGACCCCCCCTCAAAATCTCTAGAGGGAATGAGCCCGACTGACACCTTGCCATTAATCTGGTGGTTCTGGACTTCGGACCTCCGGAACCACAAGGTAACAAATTTGAGTTGATTTAAGAGACCACAGTGGTTAAATTTTGTACATCAACTAGGCTATGGTGCCCAGTTGTTTGGTCAAATACTACCCTACAAATTGCCCTAAAGGTGTTTTTTGGACGAGACTAGCCTCTCCAATCAGGTGATATAAAGAAGATCACCCTAGATAACATGAGTGAGCCTCACTCAATCAGTTGACAACCTTAGGAGCTAAAGATGAGGCTTCCCACTGAAGACACAACTCTGCCCCAGGCTGTAGCACAGAAATCCTGCCTGAGGTGCCAGCCAGCTGGGCCGCCCTCCAGATTTCTGACTTGCCAGCTCCTACAGTCGCACGAGCCAAAAATGAATCTCTTCACACACACACATACACATACACACATCCTCTTGGTTCCTATCAGTTCCGTTTCTCTGGAGAGCCCTGACTGTTACAGCCCCCGAGTTTATAGTGATTTGTTACAGCAGCAACGGGAAACTAACCCACAGTGTAAACAAAAAAGATACCTGGCTTTGCTCGCCTCCGACAGCGATGTTCTCCACACCGCGTCTTCATCTGCAAGGTCATATATATTTACCAGCGTGGTCTCTGAGCATCTCTGTGGTAATTTGTCACTTTTCTTTGGAAGTGAGAGTGCAGGCATTGGTGCTTTCTGAGCAAAATTGTTAGCAGTATTTTCGAAGTGATCCAGAAAGTATCTGGTAATGAGTTCAAGGTTTGTTTTTAGAGGGTTCTCCTTTGCCTATTAGTGGAAGAAAAAAATATCATTAATTGCATGTACAGCTTCACAAGAAGAGAGGTAAAGATGGCTATGCTGAGTCTGTCACATAAGATTATCAACTTCTCAGTCACATGCTTTTTGAGGAGATGGCCACCAACAGCCGATTGAGTGTGAAGGGCTGAGTTGTGACAGAGACAAGGACAAAAATCTCCACCCTAAGAGAACTAGCCTCCCATGGGTAAGCCAGGCGGTTCAAGTGCAGTTCTGATCTCCTTGTGCTTTTTTCTCCCAGGAATAACTCTGTAAAATATATACCCTTTCATTTAAAAAATGAAGCCTTTAACAGGCTGTGAACCAAAGGGTTACCAGTTTGATTCCCAGTCAGGGCACGTGCCTGGGTTGCCGGCCAGGTCCCTAGTGGGGGCCACATGAGAGGCAACCACACATTGATGTTTCTCTCCCTCTCTCCCTCCCTTCCCCTCTCTCTAAAGAATAAATACATAAAATATTTTAAAAAAATAAAAAATTAGCCCTGGCTGTTGTAGCTCAGTGGATTGAGTGCGGGCCTGCGAACCAGATAATCGTGGTTTGATTCCCAGTCAGGGCACATGCCTGGGTTGCAGGCGGGTTCCCTGCAGACCAATTCCCAGCAGGGGATGCACATGAAAGGCAACCATACATTGATGTTTCTCTCCCTCTCTCCTTCCCTTCCCCTCTAAAGATAAATAAATAAAATCTTTAAAAAAAATAAAAATAAAAATTAAGCCCTTGGGGATTGCTGACTCCAAAGTCTGTAAATATTTGGGGCCTGAATAGTCCCTTCATTGGTACAGCCTGCATCTGACCTTGGACTTGGGGACTTTGGGAACCATGCGTCAGCAGGTTATTGCAAAGAACAAAGAGAGGTGGTCAGGACTGACTTGGTTTACACCCCGAACTTAAAAAAATAAAAAGATGCAATGAAGCACACTTCAGCAGTCAGTTTTGGAAATGAATAAAATCAGCATTCCCCAACCCTGACTGGCCCAAATATTACCTTAGGAGAATTTCTAAATACACATCCCCAAGTCCCACTGAGTCTCATGAAGCCAAAGCCACAAAAATTAGAGCCTGATTTCTTTTCAAATTCCCCTGAGAAATGTGAACAGACACAGTTGTCCACGCCGAGGACCCCAGGCTGGCCTCTGGGGCCGGGCCGTGTAACCATGCCGGGGCCCACGCTGCTCGCCCAGAAACGCCAGGCCCCCAGGAAGTGCAGCCAGACACGGGCGTTCAGGGAGTCAGCGATCGGAGCAACAAAGGGCCAAACAGAGAGCCCGGCCTGGGGGGCGCCCTGCCTGGGGGAGCCCTTGGACCCGTCCAGTCTTTCCCCTTCCTATTGCCCCGACCTACACAGCAAAATTCTGGGGCCACAGCAGCACAATCTAAAAAATGTGTTTCCAATGAAGTTAAAGGCAACTGAGCACTACTAGAGCCATCTGAAGGATAAAACCAAACGAACTTTTTGGCCAACCCAATATATAAGGCATTTTCTATCGTATACTTAATAGGAAAAGACAAGTTAGTGGAATTAACATGAAATTTCAGGGCTTGCCTCTGAATCACACTAGCTCTGTATGAATGCCAAAGTCATTATGCAGTAAATAGATTACTAAGTATTTTTTCTGTAAAATACAAGTTCCAAGTCATTGTATAACAGTAAATAACTACTGATTAAATCAAATAATTAGGGTACTTATCAAGACCTAATGAAATATCTTAAGTATCTTGAGATAATAGTTACCTTACGGAGACTATATTATAGTAAAAAAAATAAAAATAACTTGAATGGGAAAGGTACTTCTAAAAAATTAGGTAAAGCTGCATATATATTAAACACCCCACTGCACCAGAATGGTTCATTGAGTTTTCTGGTTAACTGTCTCACTCCCTGTGGAGAAATCTTTCTAAAATGTACAGTCCACTCTCCTGCCTCAAAGTGTAGTAGATGGAGGATTTCTGGGTATCTGCTGCCTGGGTTGATAGGCGCCTCTCCCCGGCAGGGGGACCCCAACCTCCAGGCCTCAGTACTGGGCCACAAAGCAGGAGGTGAGCTTGAAGGTGCACTGGCCTCATCCCAAAACCACGCCCTGCCCAGTCCACAGAAAACTGTCTTCCACAAACCCACCCCTGGTGCCAAGAAGGCTGGGACCACTGCAGCCTACAGGACTTCAGCTGATTGCATACAGGAGATGGAAGGGCCCACGTGTTGCCCCAGGCCCCAGAGGACGTCACCTGGCTGCCATTGCCCTTTCTCCCCCATGGGGAGCACAAGGTCTTCCTTCTGGCCTCCCGAACGTTCCTATAGGTTGATACCAGTTGGCTGAGGTTCATAGGTTTGCTTGCAATTCCTCCGAGTTACGGAGGAAACCCACCCAAGTCCCTCCCTGGGCTGGCAGGATGTGCACACAGGTGGTTCCCAAGCTATTCTGGGGTCCCCCCAGGTGTCTCAGAAACAACCTCAGTGGGCAGGGGGGTTCCCCACCCCCACACCAACCCAATCTGCTACTGTTTCACTGGAGAAGAGACTTACAATTAAAGGGAGCTTAAGCACCATTACCAGCACAGGGCGGAACCAGGTCTGGCTGCAGCCTCACTCCCTGTGTGTAACTGACTGTGTGGCCTTGGCAAGCCACCTCTCTCTGGGTTGGTTCGGGACGCCCTGGCAGCGTCCCCATTCTACCAGTGGCTTCAGACCTGCTCAGCTCCACCCTGGAGGGCTGCCCCCAAGGCCAGGGAGACAGCATCCCCTCACCTCCCCCTCAAATAGGACCACCTCCGGTCCTTGTTTTTCATACTGGACTCTGGAGATATTTTATTGCCTTTTCTAAAAAACCATGATAAATGCTAAACAATATGGTTATTAGATTCTTTCCAACGCTGACACTGAGCCCCACCACAAGGCAACACATGCCGGAGAGCCATTCTCAGATCCAACTAGAGACTCCGTCTTCATAGCAGACAGCGCAGTTAGGTCCCAACAGCAGCTTCATCCCCCACACGCTGAGTTAGTCAGTCCGTCCGTCCATCTGTCCATCCGTCCCATTACCCAGAAATGCATGCTGACTATTCACCATGTCACCAGCAACATGGTGAGTACAGGGACACAAGACCAAACCTAACAGACGCCATCTCCAGCCTCCCACTGCAGTCTCCACGGCAGGGTAGGTGGACACTGACGAGGCCACCGCACGGTACGCTGTGACACCCTTGACGAGCACAACAGAAGAGAACTACAGGGCGCGGTGAACGCTGGTGATGCGGCCAGGGGGCTGAGGCTGGGGGGCCAGGGAAGCCTCTCCCACCCCCACCTGTTCTCAACTCCAATGCATCCGGGGGAGCTGAACCCCAGCTTCGCTTCCGCCTGAACTAAAGAGTAACACAGTACTCAGAGCTGAAGAAGGAAACTCTTAGGCGGACAGGGAATGGAAAATTTTAGTGTAACCGTATACTATATTCTTAAGGAAAGTCTGGCTAAAATTAGCCTCAGCGGGGAGGAGGGAGCACAGGGAACAACTGTTACAGATTTGGGTTCAACGTGAGTCTCCTAGCTGGGCATGTGCGGCACGCCCCTGGGGCGGCCAAGGGGTCTGGCTGAGGCTGGAAATGTGACTCACACTGGGGAGTCGTCAGCACTCCTGGGTCTGTTTCTCCCTGACCGCAGGTGCGGCCCCCCTGCTGCTCCCCACCTCTGAGGGCTTGGCAGGGCCCGTGCACGCATCAGCGTGGCCAAACTCAGCTCCAGAACACCACATCGCACATCAACAGCACGCACCTTGTTCTCCTTGTAGAGAAATTCAAGATGCAAAACCTTGCGGAGGTTGTTTCGGCTGTTGATGCTGAGGTCAGTGCGCGGGCGCTCCTGGTCCATGGTCACACACGTCCTCTTCAAGCCCTGAGGGGACAAATCCCAACCATTATTTACCATTTTAAATCAAAACCCTCCATGTCTGACTCGGGAATGAACAACAGACCACTGGTGTTTATTAGGACCATTCTTACCCTGCTGGTCTCACAAGGAGATTGCAAAGGCCAAACCCTGATTGGAGAATTTATTTTTATGTAACCTTCACACTTCACATCATCTTCATAATTAATATTCTAAATCTTACGACGGCCCCATGGGCTGAGCAAAATAATGCTGATATTGTCAGACCATTTCATAGAAAAAGAAAGGGAAATTCAGGTAACTGATTCATCCAAGTACGGCTCAAGAGCCCTGGGTTTGGCCCTCATGTGGGGGCTGCAGAAAGTGACGCTTTAAAAGCAATCAAAAGAAAAAACATACACAAAAGGCCAATATTCATTCCTTCCTTTTCTCAGATGGGGAGCCAGGGCTGACTCACCCAAGGCAACACAGCGGAATCGTCAGCGGGGCTTCTGATGGGCACAGCCCGTGTGAGTCAGGATGCTGGGACCCGGCCCACAGCAAGCCACCCTCCCTCACCCAGACGTGAACCCCCAGAAGGCCCAGCTGAGACACGCTCTGGCAGTGGGAAGTGCTGTTCCCCCAGAGCCTGGCTTCTTCCTTTGAAAACCAATCACAGCAGCTCTGGCGACCCGCTGCTCCAGGCCATGCTGATCCTCGAATGGTGGAGGACAGGGCCAAGATGCCTGGCAAACAGCTCCGCCTGGCATAACGAGAGCCCTTTGCTCTGGAAGGATCCAGACCTCAGCGCTAGACAGGCCCCGACTTCTCCCCTGTCCTCTGTGTTCAGAACTTTGTGACGGAGGCTCTCACTGCTGGGAAAACATGACAAAACTTGCTGTTGGCCATGCACTGAGGTGAGAACTTGTGAAACAAGAGGTATGAACACGACCTTGAACCAAAGAGAATAAAAAGAAAGCCTCGGGCGGGGGCAGGGAGGCGGGACAGAAAGAAAAGGTTGCATGGGTTGGGAACAGGTAGGGACATTTCTAAGAGCATTAGGGACAGTCACCTGGAAGAAGAGGTGAGGCTGGAAAGCGAGCGCGAACATTTCACCTGGGCTTGCCCACGGCTCTCCCACCCTCTGCGTGCTGAGGGCTCCACAGTGAGGGTCCTCCCCCGCTGGGTGACAGTGGGTGAAGAGCTCAGATCAGCCAGTCTCGGCGTCTGTACCAAACTCTCTAGGATTGTGGTGCGCACTGGCATTTGAAAATCACCGGGCGGTGTACAAGAACACCCTCAAGTGTCAGGAAGTCCTCGGCCCCACCCGGCCCACTTAATCTTCATTCACTTAAGAAACATCTGTAGTGCACCTACTATGTGCCAGGCTGTTCTACAGGCAGGAAACACAGAAAGAAGTAGGCAGAGTCCCCCCATGTCCCATGAGGCCGACATCTGATGAGGAAGCAGGCCATAAACAAGGCATAAGCTTACAGCATGGCGGCTGCTAATATGTACGACTGTGGTGACAAACGGTGAGAGCAGAGATGAAGGTGAAGGACACGATTTTAGATGGTCAGCTACTTGTTGAGCATCACCCTCATGCTCATTCCGGTCTTCTAATTCCCCATCTGTGAAATGAAGGGAACCACTGACCCACAAGTTCAGCGGCTGGGGGCAGAGTGAACAGATCACAGCCCTGGCCCTCCTGGAAGTCACGTTCCATAGGCCTGAGGGGCTGTGACACGGTGGCAGGAGACGCGAGTGAGGCTGAAGAACAGGTCATGTTGGGCTTCCAGGGTGGGGGACGAGCTGGAAACAAGGACAGTGGGGTACTTGGAACTGAGACTATGGAAAGGTCAGTGCTGGGAAAGGGTGGCGGGATAGGATGGGACTGGTCACTGCAGGAGAGGGGCCACGAACCTGGGAGGCTGGGGCACCAGGAGAATCAACTCGGTGGATCCCGACATCACCAGGAGATTGTCACGACTCTCCCTGACAGGAGGTCACACTCAGTGAGTTCAAAGAGGCCAGTGCAGCCGGGTACAATGCTGGGTCAGGGCATGGGGTCTCAGGGGGCGCAGGGAGCTGGGTCGTAGCCAGCCTTGAAGGCCCCGGTGAGACCTTCGCTGGGAATTCACTCCAGTTGTAACAGGAAGCTCAGGGAGGGCTTTGTGCAGAGGAAGGTGACAGGGTCTGCCCCGCTCACCCTGGGCACGTTTCTTCACCTCCTACTCTCCTGACAATCTTACAGGACCACTACGAGGACTTGAAAGAACAAACAAGCACCTAGAAGGTACCTCGAACCATGATGGGGATTCTGGTAATTTTAACTGCTGGGCCTGCCTTGTGCTAAGCCCCTTGGGGAGTTTGTGGTCCCTGCCCCAGGGCGGAAGTCAATGAGAAAAGCAGTCAACCTGGGCTGCAGTCCCAGCTCTCAGTGACTTTCTGGGAGACCGTGGGCAGCCCCTTTCCTCTCTCAGGGCCTTAATGTACCCAAATGAAAAATGGGGTGGCAAAGAAGCCAGGTGAACCAGACGACTGCCGAGGTTCAGGGGTCAGCTCTGTGTACCTATCTGGCAGGGGAGAAAGGCAGGTGCATAAACTGTAACATGCGCATCCGTGAGCAAACCAGACAAGATGAGCCCATCACTCCAACAAGCATTAACCTGAAAAGACCCCTGGAAGGACATGGGACTTGGCTGGAACAGGGAAGAGCACGAGGGAGAAGCTAGAAGTGAGCCTGGGATGGCAAGATGAGATCAAGGGGAGCCCTGGATATCAGGTGAGGACCCTGGAATCTGTTTGCACTCAAAAAACAAAAGGCATGAAGAAAACTCTAGGAGTTTTGCTTGGTGACCAGACTTTTAGAAAATGACAGCAGGGGTCAGCCTCCCAGGGTGTGTCGCTGATAATCCAATGTCTTGCTGGGGCTGGGTGATGAAAAGTCAAGTACCCATGAAAATAAAACAGAATGAAGCCACATGCCTTTTAAAAGTGTTTTAATAAAAATACATGTTTAAAAAGCAAACAGGCTTTCAGAACAGGTGCCCATCAGAGATGGGGAGAAGACATATGTTGAATACCTACTATGTGCACCATACAATGCTGAGGTGCTGCCCATATATCATTACTAATCTTCATTATAAATCTGCCAAGGCAAAGTCTTCTCATTCCTGTGCTACAGGTAAGGAAATCGAGGCAGTGAGTAGCGGGCCCAGGCTCACGCTGCTAGCTGCTGGTGGGCATTTGAACTGCCCTGCCTCTAAGTCCTTCCCCTTCCTCCATTCAAAACACTGTTTACTCTGTATTTTAATCCCAGACAAGCGCCCATCACCCCGCCTTCCGGGACACCCCGAGGACCCAAAACACTTGGCAGGTAGCCATCCTTCAGTCACTGTGTAGGAGAGTAATGGGCGCTGTCCCTAGGCTGTCCTTCACCATGACCCCCAGCCACCTCTTTCCTGGGGTGTCCTCACCTCCACCGAGAGGGCAGAGAAGGGCCAAGGACCTCCCCAACCTCCAATCACTCCAAAAACTCTCCTGGGACAAGACGACAGAACTTAAAAACAAAACCCGCTGCAAGGACTGTGCTGATGATGAATGTGACTGAAGGGTCTGGCTGAGAACTTTTCTAGCCCTTTGGGCTCCCTTTTGGGGGCAGTTCTTCCTGGCGGCACGGAGTCTTGGACTGGGCTCGTCAGGGAGAAGGCGCTGGACCATCGTCCCTGGGCCGCATCCCGCAAACGCTGGGTCAGGAGGGGACAAGCCCCTGGTGGGTGGCTGCAGTGCGGCCCTACTTGCGAGATGTGCCCGAGAACAGAAAGCAGTCCTGGGAAATGTAGTCCCCCCACGCCAGCCCAGGAAAGCGGAGCTGCTGTCGGTCACCTCTCAGGCAGGCAGCAGGCAGGGGAAAGTCTCCCTCCCCGAAGGGGCAGAAGGTTGCAGGGAAGCCCCCAGGGTGCCCCCAAATTAGAGCAACTGCCCCGCGCTGCGGAGGGCACATCACGTACCTTTCTGCTGAGGAACTCCCTCACCAGGGAGGCGGCCACCTCCTCCACGAAGAGGCTGTCCATGCTGCCTGCCCTGCCCACGAGGCTGTGACCACGCAGCCCCAGACCCCCTGGCCGGTAGGCCAGTATGGCCGCGTTGCCGTGGCGACGTGTTCTCAGACTGGAGGCTCCGCCCCTTCCCCTGGAGCGTGTAGGGCGGGTGGGAAGGGCGGGGCGTCCTCTGAACTCGAACTGGCTCTGGCGAGACACCTCCCACGGAGCTGTGGGCGGTCCAGTTGCCCGAGAGGGGCTCTGGCCTGGGTCCTGACTCAGACCCTGTACGTCCGGGTGGCCTAGAACAAGTCACTGCTCCAGTTTGAGTCCCCATTTCCCAAGACGGGCAATGGGGAAGTGCCTGCCTCCTCGATCGTGGGAGAGAAAATCCACAGGCAGGTGGCCCATGGAGGTCTACTGGCAGCACCTGAGCTGGTTCCTGGGGTCGCTGGAGACCCACTGCTCCTGGCTGGCCTGGACCACACGGGGCTAGAAGCCCCAGGCTCTTCCTACTCAGCACTGAAATTAAAGGGCAGTCCCTCCCCAATTAGTCCCTGTGTTCCTTCCCATAAGGAGACTTCATTATTGAGCACCAAGCATTTTACATGCATTATCACCTCTCTAATCCTTCCGCTTCCAGGCAAGACAGTTGTTTTGGCTCCCTTCTTCAAAACATGACGCTGGGTCCTGCCTGGCTGGCTAGGTCAGTTGGTTAGAACACTGTCCCAGACACACCAAGGTTACAAGTTGGATCCCAGTCAGGGCACATACAAGGGTCAACCAATGAATTTCTCTCTTTCTATCTCTCTATCCCCACCTCGTCTCTCTCAAATCAATGTTTAAAAATTAAACAACAACAACAAAAAAACACTGAGATTCGAAAAGGTTTAGATTTTGCCGAAGGTCACACAGCCAGGAACAGGCAAAGCTGGCTGCCAGCCAAACCCATGCCTGTGCCCAGTAGCAGCTGCCTCAGACCCAGTGGCTTGGGTGCCCCCTTCACGACCTTGGCTCCATCAGCACACCTCCTAGTGTACTAGTGTGCTAGTGGCTTAAACAACAGAAACCTATTTTCTCACAAGTCCAGAGGTTAAGGGTCCCAAAGCAAGGGGTCAGCAAGCTTGGAATCAATCTCTGGGGCCTCTCTCCTTGGCTTGTAGATGGTGGTCACCTCCTGTGTCCTCACATGGCCTTTCCTCTGTGCATGTCTGTGTCCTAATCTCTTCTTAAAAGGACACCGGCTACTGGATTAGGACCCCCCCAACTATCTCATTTCAATGTATAGGCCACTTTAAAGGCTCTGTCTGCAAATACAGCCACATTCGGAGGTACTAGACTTCAGAATGTCAACACATGGATTTGGGGGTCACGATTCAGCCCACAGCACCTGTACTGTTACTTATGAATTATTATCTTTAATCAACACACATATGTTTAAGTTTCTTTTACAAGGAAAGTGCTTCCAGGCAGTACTATTCACAAAATCACATCTCGGGCATGTTGATTAAATCTCTAATACACATTAAAACAAATACATAGCTGGAAAGTTACACACCCATCTAAAACTCCTCTAGCGGTCACACTTGGGAAGCAAGAGCCCCACGCTACACAGGCTCCCGAGGAAATAATACCAAAGGTCACATGCTAATCTCTGGGCATCTTCCCCCAGACAGAGCGATGGTGTCTTGGGACACCTGGTGCTGTGTGACAGCACTTGATGGCAAAAGTGGAAGGCAGAGCTGCAGGAGACAACATGCCCTCCAGCCAGAGCCCTCGCCGTTCCAGCTACAAATGCTCTCTAATGGATGGGTAACGCCATGGACACCCAGTCAGAGTTGCATTTCAGATGAACAATGAGTATTTGTTCAGGGTAAGTATGTTCCATGCGATGTGAGGACACATGCTTTAAAACACTATTTTATCTGAAATTCAGTTAACTGGGAACCCTGTCTTCGTATTTGCTAAACCTGCCAACCCTAGTTTAGAGGCAGTGGTGTGCTCAGCCAGGGGTCATGTTTTTTTGTGGGTTTTTTTTTTTCCAGGAATGGGCGGGACAGTTGTTAGACCACTGGGAGCTTGCAGTCCACTGTGGTGGGAACATTTACACCATGGGAACTGGCAATCTCCATAAAGCACCTATCACCCACTTTGTTTTATATGTTTGCTTCTTGTCTTTTTAGAGCTGGTGGTGAAACATTTACTAGTCCTCCCTGTTCAGAGCCTTCCTGGTCTTAAACACACTGCGTGAAGACTGGAGCCGTGTCGCTGGGTACTCCACAGTCGCATGGAGCCAGAGAACATCTGAGGATAGCTGCTGGGCTTAGTGTATTGGAAAAGGGAATACTCGCTTCTATGACCCTAGAGTGAGGCGTACTGGAAACTTAGAACTCTAAAACAAGCCTGTTTAAATCTCAGAATTTCCTGGCTGCTGAGGTGGGGCCATGTGAGATGGCTATGTTTCCTTGTGACCACCAGAGGGCAGGGCAGGGCAGAAAGCTTTCTGCAGAGGTGCTGAGAAGAGCTTATGTCTGAGATTTCCTGAGAAAAATCTCCAGGCTCTGGCCCTTGTGGCCCATTGAGGTTCTGCCAGGCCTCAGGCAGCACAGGAGCTGTGAGTTCACGCACCCAGAGGAATCTGGAAACTCTTGGACAGGAAGGGCCACTGTGAAACCAGAACGCTTCTGCTTCTGTGGGTCCTGGGCACTGGATTTCACTGGGCACTCTAGGGTCCCAGAGACTAGGTATTTCCAAACCAGTGTGCATGGGAGTCACCTGGGAGCTGGTTAAACTATGGATTCTGAGCCAGAAGGGCCTAAGATTCTGCACTGCCAACAAGCGTCCAAGTGCTGCTGCTGCTGCTGCTGCTGCTGCGGGGGCTACACTGTGAGAAGCAAGGAGTGAGGAGCACATCTTGAATTCCGACCTTTCCCCAGAATCACAGCGGTCCAGGACACGACTTGGAGTGTCCCCTCAGGCTCCTGTCTCCAGGTGAGAGAGGGAGGGGGCTCCAGAACTCTGCCAAGAAAATGTGCCCCACTCCCCTTGTCTTACCCTGGGCTTGGTGGGCTCTCCTTTCTCTGCTGATATGCCATTAGGAGCGTCCGAGAATCACCATTCCTTCTAGAAGGCCACCAGAGAGCCACTGTCTGCCCGTCAGCTCTGCTTGCTCTCCTGCCCTCCTCCACGTACCTGGCCTATGGCCTCTCTTACTTAGCAGGTTCAAAGGCAGGCTCCCCATCCTCAGACCTGCTCCCCCTCCCCACGTGTCCATCTCAGTGAGGACACGCCTCCATCCCTGCCTCCTTCCTCTCTCACATGCTCCCCTGCATCTGTGCAGCCAGGCCACTTGATGGTACCTCCTAAATAGCACTCTTCTTTCTTCTGCTTCTTGTTCTGTGTCTTCATCTCTGTAGCTCTCTCCCTCTCTCTCACTCTCTCTCTCTCTCTCTCTCTCACCACCCTCTCCCCCCAGTGACTCACTTCCTTGGTCCTGTCCTCTCCATTCTTGGGACAGATCCTGCCCTGAGCTGGATCTAGAATTTTGAGGACACACACACCCCTTTCCCAGACGAGGCTCAGCTGCCTGCCTGCTGCCCGCCTGCTGCCCTGTCACTGGTGCTGCTGACTCTGCTGGCTCTGGAGGCATGACCTACGTGCTGGACCCTAAGCTTCCCCATCCCCAGTGGCCAGTGAGCCGGCCCATCTAGAGGGTCCTCAAGCCCTCCTCTGGATGTGGCTGCCTTCTCCTTGGCCCTGGCATCCACGGGGAATAGGTCCTGTCCTGCTGGAGCCAGAGCTTAAGATGGCAGGAAATCTAGAGATCCAAGAAAGAAAAATGCGAGCTTCAGCCAAGGAGGCTGAAATTCAGGAAGAAAAAGGACCTCCGCCTCCGCCCCCTCCACTCTAGACAGGCCCATAACCAGGATTCCTCCAACTTTTTGGGGGGTCATCCCATGGCATACCCCAACACTCCAGCCATACCGGCTTTACTCGGCCCTCCCTGCCTCGGGGCCTTTGCCTGTGCGTTTGCTTTGCTGTGCATGCCCTTGGCCTTGGCTGTGGCCATACTTTGTAGAACCTCCTCCTCCCTCTAAACCTAGAAAGTTCATAGCTCCACTAAGAGCCATCTTTCCTCCCCCCCTTCACCACCTGCCTGGTGCCATGTGGTTTTGCAAGGTACTGTTGACACGTCAGCTTGTTTCCACCAGCCTGTGAGCTCCACCAGGCTGGGGACAGGCCTCAATTACTTCTGTCCTGGTAGAGCCGGAGCATGACAGTGTCAACACAAGAATCTGCACAAGCGAGCCATTCTCTCATGTGGCCACTGTCCAATCAGCAAATTGTCACTGGTCATGGGGCTCCTGCTCCAGGAAGCGTCTCTGGAGACCTCAGCCCTCAGGAGTCCTTCCCATCGCTCTAGCACAGCAGGGCATAGAAAGTAGAGGTCAAAGGCATAGCTGTCTAGATTCAATCCTGCCGCTGACACTCAGGTAGGCACACCTGGCCACTTACTTAAGCTCATTCTCTTTGCCTGTTTCATCAGATACAAATGCAGGTGCTAAGGAGGCTAAATGAGTTCATGTATGTTCAGTACTCAGCCCAGCACCTGGCCCAAGGTCATGCTGGAAGTGTCGGTCCTTGTCAGCACTCTTTACACTTTAACTCAGCACATGCCCCGTGAGCAGAGGAGAGGCCCCACCTGCTAGCATCCAGGGACCGAACATACTATGGCTCAGTCAGAAGTGCCTGGAGAGTGGGCTCCAGCTCTCAGAGCTGGGGGACTCCGTGGGGAGGTCAGTGAGGGGCTGAGGGACCCCTAGGAGGTCAGTGCCATCTACAGAAGGCAACTTCTGGGCTTCTCTTTAGTCCTGAAGACAAGAGTGTCAGGCAGAGGGTAGGGCTGTGTTGTGGGGGTGTAGCTGGTACCTCTGGGAGATGGCACAGCCAGGACGAGCACAGGGAAAGAGGGACATAAGCATGACCAAGAGTCAGCAAGGGCTCCCACAGTCAGGCAGGCGTGGGCTCGGAGGGTTTTCCACGGGCAGAGGTGCCCAACAAGGGGTGATGGGCTGGGGGCAGGGTAATGGGCATGTGCGTGATCAAAAGTAGTGGGAACAGGGACAGGAGGGATGTGCCCAGA